TCCTAATCTGAACAGAACCCTCAGCAAGTAGATCTGAGACCAATCTGGAAACCTGAGAGAAGACTCCCGGTCTCAGTGTGTGATTGAGTGCAAGAAAGATGATGCAGATCCTGTCAGGGGCCTTAAGAAGATTGAAGAGCACGAGAGGAACTCACATCTGTAAGGACTGAAGAAATACCCAACAAAAACTGCCAGGGTTCTAATCCAAGCTGAGAAGGAACACAAGGGGTAAAAGAAAGGGAATGTTCAGATCCTTGGGAGTGGAAGGGTCCAGAAGGCACAAATCTCAGCATTGTGGCCAAATTGTTGAATACTTCTTTTTTTAACACCAGAGGAGGGAACCCTTAACAGTGAAGATAACTACTCTGAAACACTCCCACCTCCTTATACTCTCCTAAAAGTACAGAAAAAAAATTTTGATTTCATTTAAATAGGGTCATCACCAAACCCCATACAAAGATACTGTAAGATAAAAGTATCGATAACATAGCAATGTAATGAAAAGTTGGCCTTGAGGCAGATGAAAATAGGACTTACTATTACAAACTGAGCTAAAAGAAACTAAGAAATTAACAGAAACAAGTCAGAAATAGAAAATCTCAGACATGAGATGCGGAAATAACAGGGGGATGTGAAAAAATAGCTGAGAGATTCAGGAAAGAATTAGAGAACTAAGGGAAAAATTTCAGAAATGTAGACTGCATTAGAAGGAACACAAGAATGACTAGACACAGGAAGTGTAATAACAGAAATAAAATAAAGGAGGGAAATGAAAATAATCGAAGAGAAATTAAAAGTATTCAAGCAAAAATGATAAATATAAAAGACAGAGAAAGAAAATCTGACATACACATATACACACACATATATGTGTGTGTGTATATATACACACACATGCACACACATATTATTAGAGTCCTAGGAAAAGAAAACCAAAACAACATAATAGAACAAAACTATAATAAAAGACTGAAATCAGCATATTGAAAGGACACATCACATTCCTGGGAAAATTGACCTGGAATGGTCAATATCGAGACATATTCTACTAAAACTGCTGGATTTTAAAGAAAAAGAAAAACGCCTGAGTTTATTCAGGCAAAAGGACGAAGTCATTTATTAGGGAAAGAAAAATCAGATTAGCATCAGACTTGTCAACAATACCACTTCATACTAGAAAACAATGGAGCATCGTATTTAATATGCTAAAAGAAAGAAAATGTGAGCCAAGGATTTTATATCCTGCCAAACTGACCTTCAAGTTTAAAGGCCTCAGACAAATAGTTACAAAGATGCCAGAACTCAGGGTGTATTGTTCCCATGAGCTCTTCCAGAGGAATCTACCAGATTTCTATAGAATAAATGGTAGAAGATTTAGCATGAGGTTGCTGCTTTGCGCATTGTAATTAATGGCACTGATTCTGTCATCCCCTCTCTCTCTGAGTTGTGAACGTCTTCTAATGGCCCTCTAACTAGCAGACACAAGCTAACAGAAGACCTCTACCCAGAAAAGGGGTTTACAGATGATCCTCCCATTCATAATGTGGAAAAAAATATTTATCACTAGAAATGGCTTATGAGCGGTGATTGGCAATTATTTAACCACTGTGTTATATGGACAAAAATGGCTAACAATGGTAGTTTAATAAAAAGTTGACATTAATTTTTATTATATGGGAAACTCCTAGATGATGAATTGACTTGTTAAAAAAATAAATCATAATTTGGTAAATGGTAATTTTAAATTAGTTATTTAAAGGCCTACACAAAGCTTTTCTCTGTACTGAAAAAAATTAATAATTAGGGCTTTCTGTTAAAGATGACAATAAAGGTATTTAGAAAAATTCCATTCCTCTCCTTTAAAACCCAGTGAAAAACCCACAAAGAGAATGAAAGAGAGAGAACACTCTGTCTTCAATGAACAATGAAATGGCCGCAATCCCAAACTATAAATTACGAAACACACCTGCCAAAGACGGTAAAATCTGGACCAAACTGAGAGGGAAGGCTGAGAGCTGACAAGTGTTTCCTCAGGCGCCACGTGGGATGTAGATTCCCTGGGAGTGAGCTGACAGTCCTGGAAGGCCTGTTCAACAGTTCTTTGACTACAGAGACTAGATCGAGGACCGTGAGCCGCCCCTGAAAACACTGATATGTCCCTGCAGAACCGCAGGAGACAGAGCTGAAGGAGAAACCACACTTGCAGGCCTCCTCGCCCAGGAAGGCTGCCGGAGATGAAATAGTATGAAGGGAGGGGGCAGCAATTGCTGGGTTATTCCACAGTGAGCCAGCTATTTAAGAGGCTCTTCTCTGAGTCACACCAGCCATTTGAATGCCAACATCTGCAGAGAGATGTGGGAAAAGGAAATCAGATTTGGTGCCAGAGTGTTGAAGACAACAAGCTGATGGAAACTACCCCAGCTCACCCTCCTTGCCCCATGTTATTCACAAACAGCCAGCTGCTTTCAAAGCTCCAGCATAAAATCTGTTCATCAAAACTGGGGGAAGAAAATTGAAGGGGAAGGAGGGGCCGGCCCCGTCGCGTAGCGGTTAAGTGCGCGTGCTCCGCTACTGGCAGCCCAGGTTCGGATCCTGGGCGTGCACCGACGCACCGCTTGTCAGGCCGTGCTGAGGCCGCGTCCCATATGAAGTGGAGGAAGAGGGGCACTGATGTTAGCCCAGGGCCAGTCTTCCTCAGTAAAAAGAGGAGGATTGGCAGATGTTAGCTCAGGGCTGATCTTCCTCACACACACACAAAAAAAATTGAAGAGGAAGGAGGAAATCAGGGTGAGGGGAAAGGAACAGAAAGCAAGAGTCACAGGAACAACATAACATCACAAAGATATTACCCAGAGAGAAGCTCAAACAAATAGGCTCCATGTTCCTGCGGAAATTATAGTCAGGATGTTTGGGGTAAAAGTGGCTTAAAAATGAGGTTTGAATTCACAAAAAGATAACATGTCAACAGAAGGAGATGAAAATATAACTAAAATAGCCAGGGAAAAAAATGGAAGAGAAAAATAAAAAATAGCAGACATAAAACTACGTTACAAGCAGCAAAAACAATTAAAGAAAATGATTGAAAACAGAGAGATATGGTCTACAAGGTGGAATATCTCATTTAAAACATATGGAAAGAAGTAAAGATGTAAAATTGGTTTTTAGAGGCAATGATGGATATGAAAGGCAAACAAAAGGAGATCAAACATAGGCATAATTGGTAATTGTGAGAAGAACAAAACAAATGGAACAGAAAACTATTCAGAGATTATAAAGGTGTATTACTTTTCTTTAATAAAAGCTGTAACCGGCAGGTCATAATGGTACAGCATACGCCAAGAAAATATGACCCACTAAGCTTAATGTGCTGAACCTCAGGGATAAAGGACGAAAGAACCCATACGCCTCTGAGCAGACAAGACAAACAAATAAATGACAGAAATTCCCTATTTCGCTTCATGGATCTTCACAGCAGCGTTCAGTGCACAAAGACAGAGGGACAGGGTCTGCACAAGTTGAAGGGAAAGAAAGTATCACCCATGTATTTTCTCCTCGTCTGGGTCGTTCGTCTTGTAGAAAGGCAACAGAGAGGCAGTCAGAGAACGTGTTCCCATCAGCCCTTCTGGAAAAACCCACAGGGCCACGATGGAACACCGAGATGACTCAGAATAAAGAGTCCAGGAAAGTGCAGGCCCCGATGAAAACAAGATGGAAGATGAGGAATGGATTCATTTCAGTATAGAAATAAGACTCATCAACCAGCAATTGCATTTCAGAACAGAACATAAACATCAGAAATCTTAACATTACCTAAATATTATAATGAAAACTAAGTGGAAGTTTGGAGAGGAGAGGTGGGAGGAAATGTAAATGTGCTTATTTCCTCTTCCTTCTCAGCAGCAAGTCAATAGATACTGTCGTAAGTCAAAATTTGTCCTTAAAAATACCGGAATCTCTTGTTGGTTTCTTTCATCTTCTTTCTTAACTTTAAAGGGTTCTTTTGGGAATTAATCAGTCACGGTGAAAAAAAAAAATCAGACGTTCAGCAACACTTTTAATTTTACTTTAGATTTTTTTTTAATATACCTAATAAAACTGCATTAAAATTTTACATTAAAAATGCATGTACACATGTAATTATGATAATCAAATGTCAATGTTGGGGGCTGGCCCCATGGCGTAGCAGTTAAGTGCACGCGCTCTGCTGCTGGCGGCCCGGGTTCAGATCCTGGGCGTGCACTGATACACCGCTTGTCAGGCCATGCTGTGGCAGCGTCCCATATAAAGTGGAGGAAGATGGACACGAATGTTAACCCAGGGCCAGTCTTCCTCAGCAAAAAAAAAAAAAAAAAA